TTTCTTTTCCTTCCTGAGATATGTGACTTTAAAATATCGTAAAAATAAGATTTTTATGATTTTAGTAAAAATGATTTAGTCCCAATGTGATCTTAACTTTGGCATATATTCTCAAAAGATCATGATTCTCAATAACTTCAAAAAAATTTTCACAAGAAGGGTTCCTTCCCCACTAACACGTTCTCTTTACAATAAATCACGTAAAACACGATGTTGAAGTAAATAATCAATGTTTATTTTTATCTGTAGTAATGGCTAGAAATTCGTAGAGCTGCATTTATTTCAAAAGTTTTAGCAAAACTAAACTACGTTATCCCGAAGCGTATTAACAGTGACATAATAACGAGCCAATTTAAACAAAAAAGTGTAAATACACAAATATATCTCAGAAACGAAAAGAGAGAATGTCACATAATTTAAAGCGTGTATTACTTAGGAATGCACCCTCTATAATATATGTATGTCAAAAGGAAAGTGATTCTCTCTCTCTCTCTCTCGTGAGAGATAGTTAATGGCAAGATTAACCAAGATTGATACTAATTGCGTTGTGTGTAAACATTCTTCCCCTACCTTTGCTGTAAGAAGCGAGCAATAACAGATTCACTAACGCTGCTCCAGTGTCATGGCCCATCAGAGTTATTCGCGTTGGATCGCCGCCAAAAGCGCCAATGTTCTCACGCACCCAGCGTAGTCCCATCGTGATGTCCTTTAAAGCCAAATTCCCGCCAGATCCGTTCGTCCTGTTGGTGAAAGGACGACTCCTCAAGAATCCTGGAAAAACGCCAAACCGTTTGCGATTCAACACTCTCACGGGATTGTCGTCGGATAATATCCTTCCTTCTTCCCTTCTCCCTCTCTCACTCTCGTTTTATTACATTTTTTCTTTTTTTATTCGTTCTCTCGCAATATTTTCTGCGCGCGCGTGCGACACCCTCTATAATATATGTATGTCAAAAGGAAAGTGATTCTCTCTCTCTCTCTCTCGTGAGAGATAAGTTAATGGCAAGATTAACCAAGATTGATACTAATTGCGTTGTGTGTAAACATTCTTCCCCTACCTTTGCTGTAAGAAGCGAGCAATAACAGATTCACTAACGCTGCTCCAGTGTCATGGCCCATCAGAGTTATTCGCGTTGGATCGCCGCCAAAAGCGCCAATGTTCTCACGCACCCAGCGTAGCCCCATCGTGATGTCCTTTAAAGCCAAATTCCCGCCAGATCCGTTCGTCCTGTTGGTGAAAGGACGACTCCTCAAGAATCCTGGAAAAACGCCAAACCGTTTGCGATTCAACACTCTCACGGGATTGTCGTCGGATAATATCCTTCCTTCTTCCCTTCTCCCTCTCTCACTCTCGTTTTATTACATTTTTTCTTTTTTTATTCGTTCTCTCGCAACATTTTCTGCGCGCGCGTGCGATTGAATCTCATTCACAAATTCAAAAGTGCTATCAATTTTTTTTTTTTTAAATTATGTATTTAGAAACTTGTAAAGAGGAATTTATTATTTCAATCAAGC